CTGTTGCGTATACTTAATGAGTAGATATGAACATGTACGTTCAGCGTAACGTATACGCAACAGTGAACGAAATATTTGATGTAAACAATTAAAAACTAATGAGGAAGGAGAACAGTCCAACGGGGGCAAACTATATGATAATCTACACAAGTAGATATAATTAACAGATCTTTCCATATCATAGAGCAGCTATATCTAAATCGAAATCGATTCCCACGAAAATTTAACGGAGGTATTCTATCTGATGTAAGCGAACATACTACCCAATTTCATTGCTGTAGACAGACAGGTTTTCCATGCTCAAAAATTTGAAATTTTTAGCAAGATCGACTGGAAAATTTTGTAAAGATCATCGGAATAAATGAATTCAGGAGTATCTTATTTAAGGACAACACATGGAGCTTCATTGAAATTCATTTAAAATAATACGCCCTACGAAACAAAGTTAAATCTATTAATCGATTGGAAAATATGGCCAACATCGTCGGCATAAATAAAACCAGTAAAGACAGGCTAAAGTCGGGCTGGGCCGACATTATGATACCTTACACCACTGTGCATACAGGGTGATATAAAAAACTGCAACAAAGTTAAACGCCATAATTTTTATTAATTTATTTTTTTAAATTTTAGTGAATGAAAGCAAAAAATGTCGGAAATGGCATCAAATTTTAGAATAACTTTAGATTTGTTCTAATTGGTCACATTTGGCACGAATTATGGCCTTCAAACGACTAATGAAACCGTCATACGTTGCCCGAATGTGGCTTTGCGGTATTTTGGCCCATTCCCGGCGAAGTGCTTGCTTGAGGTGATCGACTTTTTGGTATTTTTTTGAGCCAACCTTGCTTTCCAAAATACTCCAGACACAATAGACCATCGGATTGGTATCCGGAGATTTTGGTGGTGATTTTGGTGCTGGAAATGAAGCGATGAACCCCATTTTGTAAGCATTCTTGGGTAGCGCGTGCTGAGTGCGATGGTGCTGAGTCCTGTTGGAATGTCCTAGGTCTGCGGCCAAAATGTTTGCGTGCCCAAGGCTTTAATACACCCTCCAGAATATTTTCGCGATAATATTCGGTATTTATTCTGATGCCACGGTCTATAAAAATGAGCGGAGAGCGACCATCGGCCACACCATCGCCATGGCTGGCGCTTGAGTTCTGGTGGCCAACCAAAGGTGCACCTATTAAGCTGATCTCTTTTATTTGTTTACAAACTGCTGGACAACGAATGTTTTCTCATCGGAGAAAACCAAATTCGGCAGTTCTCAACTTTCGGCCAAGCGAAGCAACTCTTTAGCTCTTTTGAGTATATTTTCTTTATGTTGCGGTATAAGTTCTTGCACTTTTTGGAATTTATATGGTCTTACCCCGAGCTCATTTTTCAATATTTGCCGAATGAAATATTGCGATATGTTCACATCACGAGCCATTTTTCGGACACTGCGAAGCGAGTTTCGATCAATTTGCTTTTTACTTTTTGAAATATTTCTGCTGATGTTGCTGTTTTCTTCCGTCCACTACCTTGACGTCGGGCTACGATACCAGTATGACGGTAACGAGCAAAAGATTATTCACAATTATTCAAAAACAGGAGATTTATTCACATTTAAATTCTGGAGTGCTCTAACGTAGCCAATTGTGGTTTTCCAGCCAAATATAAAGATATCACACTATCACGCTTGAATTTCATCCCTAATTACTTTTTTTCTGGAAAATTCTCACTAAAATGCTTTTGTACGTTTGTAAACATTATAATGAGCTGTCACTGGAATAATTTGACAGCAGTCTGAATTTGGTTTTAACTTTTTTTAATCTCACCCGGTATATAGTAGAGCTACATATAACATATAAACTCTTTTTTATAGGGAATTAATGAGAATTAAAACACACCCACTTTGGTCGTGACATCGGTAAAAATGTAAAGCTGAATGGAACTTATTTATGACCGGCTATTAAATTTGACGGAGACATTTGTGTCTGAAGCGGTATTCAATGCATCCTTTTTAAGCTGATTTTACATTTTTTAGACACAACAAACGTGAAATCGGATGAAGATACAAATGGGAGCTATATCTAAATCTGAACCGATCTCAAAAAAAATGAGCAGAGGTATTTCTATGCTGTATCTGATGGTTGGCACCAAATATCATTGTTGTGGAGAGTGTTCTATGGGTATAAGGAAGTAAAATACAAAATCGGATGAAAAATATATATGGAAACATAGCTATATCTTAACCGATTTTCACAAAATTCGACACACATTCTTCCAGACTAAATTCGTTTGTATGTCCCAAAATCCATTTAAATCGGGCTTATATTAACCATATGGTGCGCAATAAACTTGAAAGGGAGTGGAGATATATATGAGAGCTATATCCAAATCTGAACCGATCTGTATACAATTTGGCAAAGGTATTTCTGTTATTTATTATATTTCGTATCGACGTTATGAAATACATGTTACGACTGTGAAGGACAAAAATAATAAATGCGATGCAAAATATGTAGAGGAATATCTGAAGCGAATTCCCACACATTTGACTAACTTGTTTCTAGGCTCAATATCTGGCAAATGCCATTATTTGGACAAAAATTACACGTTTGGTGCACAACAAAAACACAATCGGACGAAGATATATATGGGAGCCGGTACTTTGTTTACCAAAATATATGGACAGAGGGACAAACGGACTGACATAAATCGACTTAAAATGTGATTCTATGCAGATTATCAAAAGGAACTATAGGTCCAACTAGCTTCCATCTCTAAGTCAGAAATAAATGCACAATTTGATCTAAATTTGACGGAAGTATTTTTTCTGAAGTAAGGATAGACGTGTGCATATTCTGTTTTAGAAAAAGCGTAAATATAAAATCGAAAGGGTTTTCATACTTAAAGAAATTGAAATATCATCTTTTTCCCAAAACCTAATAGAAAATATGGTAGAGACCTTTTGAAAAAGCTTATTTGGGAAACATCCTATACAAGGACACTACACAGACACATTGACTTATGTTGGCATTCATTTAAATTTATATGTCATAGGAAACCAAGAAAAAGAACAATTAATTGCAAATTATGGGCAAGACCTAGAAGGGAGTTGCCTCTATATGTAGGTCCACGATATCGTGTATCCCCCATTTTACTGTACCTCCCGATGTTCAGTATTTTAATGATTTTAGGCAGATTTTATAATGGAATTGTCTAAAAATTCACATCAGAATTTCTTTCTGAGTACTTCACCCCCTGAAGGAGAATTCGTATATCCCCCCTATAACGATACCTCCTAGTATTCTACATTTTCATGATTTTAGCCACATTCTTCAACGGAATTGTCTAAAAATCCACGAAAGAGGTTCCTTCTGAGTACATTACCCCCTGAAAGAGAATTGCATAGGTCTATGATATCGTATAGTCCCCATATAACGGTACACCAAGATATTCGATATTTTGATGATTTTAGCGACATTTTTGACCGGAATTGTTTTCAATTTCGTAGTTATAGTTTAACGCTCAAATGATGCTATTTGTATAGCCCACATAAAACGGTTCCGATTCCCTCTATTCCGTTTAACAACAATTAACAACAATTAACAACATTATTCACCGGAATTGTTTCAAATTTGACAATACTAGCGACATTATTCATTGAAATTGTTTGAAATTTCGTATTTGAAGTTCGGAATCGGTACTACAGTCTATGACAAAAAATTACTTATGCAGGTCCACGTCTTCGTATAGCCCTCAATTAAGGGTTCCCATTTAAGTGGTGTTTTCGACGAAATTTCTTGACATTTTTCAAGATCTTTCAAAATGGTGGAGGGTATTTAAAGTTCGGACCGGCTAAACGTAGCTGCTTTTTTACTTGTTACGTAAAAGTTATGGTCTATTTTACCCGTTAAATATTGTCCGATGAAAATTGTAGGCTTCTGATCAGCCCTAAACTCTAACCCCGTGCTAAATTCCGCGTCGATTAGTCTATAATTGCGATCTGTGGAGCAACTGCAATTTTTTTGCTTTTGGTCCATTTTAACCCCTAAATATTATGTGATTCTCTTCAAAAACAATAGGTTTCTATTCTGACCCTAGTTCCACCTCCATGCTAAATTTCGTTAGGATCGGGCTAAAACTTCGACCTGTAGAGTGATTACAAATTAACATGGACAGCCGGGCAGACAGACGGACGGACATACATAGCTACATCGACTAGATAGGAAGATCCATATATCATTTCCTATGCCGGGTACTAATATTTAGAGGTACTACAAAATTTTTGGCCCAATCAAACTTATAATACCCCCAACATATAGTGTTGTAGGGTATAAATAATTGGAAATGGGTGCATTCGAATGAATTTTTTTAAGTTTTTTCATTCTCTCATGGTGGAGGTTACAAAAAGTTTGAATCATATGGTTTTAAGGTCCTTTTCCATATTTCATTCAGGGTTTAACTACAGTTCTTTTGAAGGAAGTAGAAAAACATTTCAGTTAATTTCGGAGAAAAAAAAAACATTATCTGGAGGTAATTTTTTTATTTTGAAAATTTAAATTGAAAGAATTTTATATAGGATTCTTTTTCTGATGGCAACATCTCAAACTTGACTTTCGGGCGATGATATCAATTTTCCGATCGTGTTGGTAAAACTTAATTTTGTATTTATTTTTTTAAAAATTTGACATTCAGTTAAATATTTTATGCTCTATGAAAACTTGTTGTTTCTTTTTGGCCTGCAAATTTTGGATTTTTATGAAAGGTATACCGAATGTTCATAGGGTATAAGGACAATAGTTTTAATGGGTTCTATTGGTTTTCTACCTTGTACTACAATACCACATGGAATTTTAATATTTTTTTCATAAAACTAAAATGAGTTGTGAGTGATAAGAACTAGTTATTAATACATTCTCTAAAAGTTAATAATCCCACGTATTTCAAAAGCTATAAAGGAAAAACATTCAAAACAAACAATTAAAAAAAGGGTGATGGCTACTTACGCTGCATTTACTGTGGCCGCATGTCGCCTGGGCTCCTGTATCAACATCGCCAGTGTAAAGGCTAGCCACAGGGTAATGAGGCGCGATTTGGGCAGACATGTTTGCAGTGTTTGATATATCATTGAATCACTCATGGTGGTGGTGGTGCTGATGGAGGTTAGGGTGCTGTGGCTGTTGTTTGGATGGTGGTGTTGGAATGCTGTCGTTTCTCCGATGCTGTTGCGGCTACTAGTATTGCAATTTATTCACTGATACCGATGATAACGCCAATGATAATGAGCTGGATGGTCAATGAACCGTGTGAAAATCGTTGAGGATTCCTATTAAAATTATTGTTGCGGTTTGTTGTTGTTGTTGTTGCTATTGGTGCTTGGGAAATTGTCTGCCCCCTTTGGGTGTTGTTGTTGTGATATGTCCACCTTGTAGTTTTTTTGGGGGGTTGTACCAAAAAACCAGGTCTGCGGGGAGTGGGGCAAGTTTTGTTTTTTTGTTGTTTTTTTTTTTTTTTGGCAACTATCAATGGTTGCTTGGCTCCTCTTTTCTGTTTCTCTTTTGTTTGTTTCTCTGTATTTGTTCTGTTCTGGAAATTCTAAAACAGCAGCTATACTAGTTGTTGTTGTTGTGCTTTGTTTTCCGTTAAGTTGTTTATCACCGTTATCATCGTTGTTGTGGTTGTTGTTGTTGTTTTGGATTTATTATTAACAGTTTCCTGTGGTCCTCGATATTTTTTTTTTTGAATTTTTAACTAACTTTAGAATCTGTTTCCTTTGTGGTAGCCGGGGGAGAGGGAGTTTTTTTTGTGTCTCTGTGTGGGAACTGTGTGCTGGTGTTTGGTTGGAAGGGTTAAGGATCTTGTTGTCGTTGGCTAAATGAATGAATTATATATCCTTAGAAAACACACACACACACGCATACACTCTCCTTTGTCCGTATATATGTAGATGTATGTCTAGAGACATGAATACATCTAGACCTCAGTTCTGCTGGTCACATGTAATTGTTGTGGCCCTCGCCTGCTTATCATATGGCTGGTTGTTGTTGTTGTTTTTTGCCTTCCTTTTCTAATTGAGATATTTTTATAGCTGCCACAGTCCAATGATTTTCTGAGTTTTATAAATAAGTCTTTAATGTTGTTTGCTGCCGTCGTCCTGCCCGCAAAGCATTAGCATCAACATATGAGTGGGTGTGAGTGTGAGTGCAGAGTATGGTTGGATGTGTGTGTGTATGTTTGTTGTTTTTTATGTTGGAAAGAGTTTTGTGTACGTGATGCTTTTAGGTATTACTGTTGTTGTTGTTGTTGTTGCTGATTTTTCTCTTGTTTTTGTTTTCTATTGAAGTCATCAAGCCTTACTAGAGGATGGGTTTCACAACTCCCTTTTCTTTGTTGTTTTTGTTTTTTGTTTTAATTATACAAGAATTATGTTTGTTGTTATTCCTAATGGATTTCCATTTAGCCTGGTTATTGTTTTGGAACGAGGAACGACCAGAGAGCCATTGGAGGAGCAGGAGGAGGGTGGTTAGGCACAAAAACTCTAATGCCAATTAGTTAAGTTAATGATGGAGGTTTTACATTTAGTTGTTGTTGTTGTTCTTAGGATCATTAGTTGTTGCTGCAGCCTTGTTGTTGTTGTTGTTCTTGTTGAGAAAATTATACACCGTTTTTGTTTTTGTTGGGGTTTTTGTTTTTAATTAGACCGTCTATATCCTCATTTACAAAATTCTCGTTTCACACTTTGTCACCGGATTGAGTGGGCAGCCAATGACATTTCACCGTCGCACAACCATTGTTTTATTATTGTAATTTTGTTGTTGTTGTTCTGTTTGAATTTATAACAATTTTCATGAATTTGTAGAGCCCTCGACACATGGGTGTTGTCTGTAAATGATGTTTCGTCGTCTGCTCTTCAAGCTAAACATTGTTTTTTGATTTTTTTGATATTGCAACTCTATTCAAATTTAACATTTTGAAATCTTTTTTTTTTGAATTTTCTTCCTTTTTTGTAATTATTTTTTTTTTCTGTTACTCTAGATTTTTTTCACTTTTCCATATCCTAAAAAAAATTAGATATATTTAAAATTTTATTTTTTTTTTCACATTCCGCAGGCCATTTTTTTCATTCAGGTTTTTCTTTACACACTCGCGCACATACACACCAACACAATTTTTGTCCAGGCACTGGGTGTTTTATTTGTTTTGCATTTTTTGCTCCCCGTTGTTATTTATCTTTGTTTTTCTTCTTCTATTTTGTGTATTTTTTCTTCCTTTTTTTCCTTTTTGTATACCCTAAACTTTGTATGTGTTTGTGTGTTTGATTTTCTTTTTTGGGGATTTATTTTCCTTTGTTTGGTTTTGGTGTTCTTAAGCGGCCCGAAGTGTATGCTGTGTGCAAACGTTAAGTATCAAAGTGCTTTAGGCACTGAGTAGTGGAGCCTATACTCTGCCTTGTCAAAGGACTCAACTCACTGAACGAAGTCAGGGCTTTTTGTGTCCTCCTGATGCTTTGTCAGTTGCCCGAATTTGTTGTGCAGATTTTGGAGACAATTTCATTGCTCTCCCTCAATGTTAGCTCTAACAGTGTCTCTCTTCTCTCGTGTTTTTTAACATGACTCTCATTTATTCCTAAACTGTAGTTTTTCTCTGCTCTCAAAATGTTATTACCGTGAGAGCAAACTCTCTTGGCAAACACTGCCGTTAAATTATGCACAGAATAATGGAAATGTTACCTTAAAATTCTGCACATACAACACCCATCTCATGGGTTATATCTTCTTCTCCTCTATTTACTCGCCGTATTACACGGTTTAACAGAACAAATTTTTTGAAATTTTGACTTGATTTTCAAGGAATATAACTTAAAATAAACAAAGTTCTAAAGGATTTGGGCTAATTAAATAAAAAAAATAAATATGCAAATGTGTAGGAAGTAAAATTGAACCGCAAAATTTTCAAGTAAGGCAATACGCTTGACAAATATATCTCCCTAGGTTTTAATGTCAAATGCAGCAAATTTGGAGCATATTTTAATTTTCCAATAAGCCAACTATTTTTTAACCCCTAATATCACAAATATTGTTGCGACTAGAGAAGGAGATCTTTAATGGTCTGTTGCAGAACTGCAAGAATGTAAAAAAATTTACTATGATATCTGATTTTTTCTTAATAGTATCAGAAAAAAGCAAAACTAGTAGATTATTGCAGGTATGGAACAGATGAAAATTAGCTAGGATATGTCCAATATCATCGATAAGCATGTTTTCAGTTTTTTTAAGGGACTTAACTTTTAGGATTTCATATGTATTTGAAATACCTTATCCCACATTTTGGCACCGTCGGATAATGGTCCCTCCTTGGAAAAAAAAATCGAAAATAGATGACAACAAGTTATTGTGTCATAGTGACCAATTTTCAAAAAACGCACCAGTTTTCAATGTAAGAATTTTTCAAAATATAAATGTCGCTATGACGATACGAAAGTGTATACGAAAAGAAAACTATAAAAACTATAAAAATTTTTTAAAGCTTAAAAAATAGAAATTAATTTTGAATGATCTTTTTCAATTTTTAATATTTTTTAGTTTAATGAAAATTTTGAATCAAAAAATATAAATTTGAAATAATACATAAATTTACTATTTGTGCGTTAATATTGATATAAGCTACGTAATACCTCAAACATATCCATCAGACCGGTCTAAAGGTCTTAGCCTTATCCGTCTTTCGATTGGTATCATAAAAAAGAGCTTTAAAGTTATATACAGTATGACTGTTATTCTTAGGACATTTGGTGCTGAAATTGCAATACATCGATCCACGAATAAGTATAGCCGCTATATAATTCCACCTCCTAATTTTCAGTATGTTGGAGGGTTCTAGATCAATTTCCAACCAACTTAGCTGTAATTTGACATTTTGTATTCCCTGTTGTCAGATTTACTCCTTTCATGATTATTCAATGTATGAATAGTCCCTATATAACGGCCGAATCGGCTGCCATAAACTAAGTTTTCACATAGTGGACGATATATAGAAAATCCGGTCCGGCTAATCATAAAGTCACTATTACATATTAGATTTACTTTCATAAGATATAATAAAATTAAAATTTAATAATGCATCCGCACAATTCGTTTGGGAGTTTGGTACAACGTCTATAAATTTATTAGGTTCTCAAATATTGGGTGCAAACGAAAGGTGCTGATATTTAAGGACCTATTGCCATAGGACCTTGTTAAATCTATTGAAAAAAAACCAAAAACCCTTCAAAATTCGTAAACACGGAGGGACAATAATTTTGATCCTTAAAGCTTTTCATTGAAATTGCCCCATCATAAAGTAAAAAAAAAAAAACTCACAAAGAACTCAAATCGAAATATTTCGATGTATTGGTGTTAAGTCAAAACATGAACTTATTCAGAAATATATTTTGCATGTCTTGCCCTGTACAACACAATTAATCATGTGTATTTTGTTTTAATGACAAATTATTAACAGTTAAAAGTGGTATTCATATGGTGTCTAGGCGTAAATTTCTGCCACAGGAGGTGGTACCGAACTTAACATAATTCCAGTGAAAACTGTGACAAAAATTTTAAAACACACAATATTGGAAAGTACAGTTATATTTGGACTATACAGAAACTTAGATTTATACAGATAGTGTTTCTTAAGAACGTTTTTCAAATACAGGGAACACAAATTTCCAGGAAATTCTGTTGAAAAATATGAGGGCATAAAAATATCAGCATTATATCTAAATAATATATCCAAATAGGATTTCGGAATCGGAGTCGTACAATTTTGCTGCAGTCGGAGTCTGAGTCAAAAAGCTACAATCTCGATTCCTAGCAACCTGTTGTTTAATTAATATTTTTTTGTGATGTGATTGGTATAATTCATAATAGGTATATGATAAAAATCTGCCGTAAATTTTCGGAGGTCAAAATTCATTAAAATTTGCATCTACTTTGAAGGCCTTCCCACATGCACACTAATGACTAGCCTTTAGAATTTCTATATAAACTTTTAAAGCAATTAATATCCTCTTTTGCGGTATTGCCTAAAATATTCTCCATAAAGTATATATCTGCATTTTGGTCAGCATATATCGGGTTTTTAATAATTTTACGAGAAAAAGTAAAATTATCAATAGAAATCCTCCATATGATGTACAAAGTA